GCTTCTGGAGTCCCACAAGTCAAAAAGGCCCGATAGGACTCCTTCTTCAACCTGACAGTGTCCCTCACCACCGGTGTCCACCACCGGGTTTGAGGGTTGCCGCCACGACAGGCACCGACAACCTTGCAGACACGGCTCCGGTAAGCTGCCTCGACAATAGAGGCGCGGGACATGGCCCACTCAGACTCAATGTCCCCAACCGCCCTGGAATGTGTTCAAAGTTCTCCCGTAGGTGAGACTTAAAGCTCCGTCTCATGGGAGACCCTGCCAGATGTTCCAAGCAGACCCTCACAATACATTTGGGCCTGCCAAGTCTGACCAGCATCCTCCCCCACTATCAAAGCCAACTCACCACCAGGTAGTGGTCAGTGGACAGTTCCGCCCCCTCCCACCCAAGTGTCCAAGACACGCAGCGGCAGATCATATGAGACAACAACAAAGTCGATAATCAAACTACGGCCTAGGGTGTCCTGGTGCCAAGAGCACATATCGACACCTTTATGCTTGAACATGGTAGTCATTATTGACAATCCATGATGAGCACAGAAGTCCAACAATAGAACACCACTTGGGTTCAGATCAGGGAGGCCGTTCCTCCCAACAACACCGCTCCAGGTCTCACTGTCATTGCCCATGTGAGCGTTGAAGTCCCCCAGCAGAACAAGGGAGTCCCCAGGAGGTGCACTCTCCAGTACCAACTCCAAGGACTCCAAAAAGGGTGGGTATTCTGAACTTCAGTTTGGTGCATAAGCACAACCTAGAAAGTTCCTGGAGAAACTTTGATGGGGACTGCCAATTTTTTATGAAATTATTAATAATAATAAATATTAATATTAGTGATTATTAATAAATATCACCAATAATAATTAATAGTGTTAATTATTTATTGTTAAAACAATAATTAATCATCAATATTAATATTCACACCAATAATTAGTATTAATATTAAATATTACTTATTAATATAAGTACTTATTTATATTAAAATACATAATTATTAACATTAATAATTAATATTTGTTATTATTATTACTAATAAATAATCATGATAGGTGATAATAGGTAATAATAGGTGCCTTCCTTGCATGTTGAACCAAAATGGCTACATATGTTACACAGTTTCTGTGACGAGTTTTCTCCTATTCATTTCCTATGGGAAATTTGGCATTTTTTGTTAGCAAAATATGTCACCATGGTGACTGTGAATACCGATAAAAGTAATTGCACACTTCCCGGAGCCGGGCTTGTCGTTTTTATACAACTTTTGTGGGGGTCCACGTTGTGGTTCGGGCCGCATTAAAGTTGAAAAAGATTAACTTTTTAGGTGTAGAATAATAAGTGGGCAGTCACCAACTAGTTCCTGGAGTTGGTGAAATATTGCGTCTTTGTTTGCAAATTACGTTGTCATGGTAACTCAAAATGCCAATAAAAGTAATAGCACACATCACGGGGCGAGCCAGTCGTTCTGATATAACTTTTGTGGTGGTAGACGCTGTGGTTCAGGCCGCATTAACAGAGATAGAAATGTACACACTCTTCCGAGGTGTAGACTAATAGGTGCCTGCCATGCATTTGCATGGCAGTCCCCAATAAAACTAACTAACACTTTTATATTTTGTGATTAGGAGGATTTTTATGATGTGACACTGTGAATTTTAAGTTGGAAGACAAAAGTCAATCGGTGCATCTGGACAGCAAAGTGTTAACCCTTCACAAAGTCGATGCGTGAGAAATGCGTGTGCGTGGCAGAGGAGATCAACTGATCAGTTGCAGGAGGGCGCTTCCTTTTCACTTGTGGGCTACACACACACGGTGCAAAATCATTTAAAATAATTCATTTTAAGTAAACAATCCATGGCTCACTCATCAGCCAATTGTGTCATGTCTGATCTTATTTTGAACAACCGCGAAAAACGAACCGCGAAGTAGGGAGGAACTACTGTATATGGATGCAGTCAGAGAGGACATGGAGGTAGTTGGAGTAAGGACAGAGGATAGAGTGAGATGGAGGAGGATGACTCGCTGTGATGACCCTTGAAGGAGGAAAAGCCGAAAGAAGAAGTAGTTTAATAGGTTGTGTAATGTAAAATTTACTCTTGCATACTGAATTTTACTGAGAGTTCTTGCCCTGTGTGCCACTCTGCAGCCTGAAAACATCCACTGTAGTTACTATTTTAAGTTATTAGTAGCTTTTTTCCCCCCCCATGTCTTCTTTGCCTTTATGTTGGTCAATAAGAAATAGATGCCTCTCTAAATGCATTAAGTAACACTGTGAGCTTCGCTACCTCCACATTACAGCTATCTTTGTTTGTTTGTTTGTTTGTCTGAGGTTAGCTCACCCTGGGTTACATTTCCTCGTGGGTGGAGCAATCTTACTTTTCACGTACAATATTTTATAATGTTCTTATAGAAACAATTCCTGAATGTTGTTCATACTGTGTTAATGCTACATGTTTGTATCTTGACCCTACAACTGGTTAAGGTTATAGTAGACCTAGCCCACTACTGGAGGTTTAATTGGGTATTTTAAGCTACTAACAAACATGATGGATGATCAAATTGCTTTATGCTAGACCAATGGTAAGGAGTGATTATTATTGTTATTGTTTCATATTGGCTAGTAGTTTTTTTTTCCCTTCCCAAAACTTAACTTAGACTACACTGTGTTTCTTAGACTGACTAGGATGCGTGATAGAAGCGAAACGTGCTCTATTCACACAAGGAGAGCTGTTGGTCAGGCAGGTCTTGTTGTGCCATTAACTCTAAAGTACTTATTGAATCAATGTCACTTGTATAGGTAAAGCTAGATGTTTAATTACCTGTTAAAATACACCAGAATGCAAGAAATGACATCTATTTTATTCAAAATTTTCTGGGAGGACCCCCAAACCCCCCTACTAGTGTGTCCCCCACATTGCAAAAATGCTTCTGACACCAATGGCCACCATGTTGCTAACAATCTTCCAGAGCAGGACTCTCACCTAGACCAAAGCAGGACTCACAAATTTAACATACTTCAGTTATCCAGGAGAGACTCAGAGTAGAACCGCTGCTCCTCCACATCGAAAGGAGCCAATTGAAGTGGTGGGCATCTGCTAAGGATGCTTTCCGGACACCTCTCAGGGAAGATTTTTACCGGCATGTTCTACTGGGAGGAAACCCCGAAGACGACCCAGGACACAATGAAGAGACTACGTCTCTCTGTTGGCCTGGAAATGCCTTGGAGTCCTCCCAGAAGAGCTGAAAGAGGTGACTGTGGAAAGAGATGCCTGGACCTCCCTGCTCAAGCTGCTGCCCCAGAGACTTGACTCCAGATGGAGGGATGAGTAGTTGGTTGGATGGATGGATGCACAGGTGAGTGGATGGATGGATGGATGGATGGATGTGTGGTTGGGTGGATGGACGGATGGATGTGTGGTTGGGTGGATGGACAGATGGATGGATGGATGGATGGATAGACGGACGAACGGATGGATGGATAGACGGACGGATGGATAGACGGGCGGACGGATGGATAGACGGGTGGATGGATGGACGGATGGATATGTGATTGGGTGGATGGATGAATGGATGCTCAGTTGGGTCGGTGGATGGATGGATTGACGAATGGATGGATGCATGGGTGGGTGGACGGACGGACGAATAGATGGACGGATGGATGTGTGGTTGGGTAGATTGATGGATGGATGCGCAGTTGGATGGATGGATGGGTGGATGAATGGATGATATATGGACAGAGTACAATGAATTTGATTACGGAGCCTGAACATGATAAAACTCACATGATGTTAACATGTGTGCTCACATGTGACAGTATGTAGTAAGGTTTGTTTCAGATGTAATGGATACAGGGATGAAAAACGAAGAAGAAAACAAAAAGGCAGAAACGTGGGAGAAAGGTTAAAATAAATCAACTACTCAATCATTTGAAGAAACTATGCTTTTAAGCAAAATGAAAAACTAGAAAACATTTTCCATCATCCCATTTCTGACATGAACTGGTTGTAATGTCAAACCCAAGTGCAGGCAGAGAGCAGGAGATTCTGGGTAAAATAATTATTTAAAGTTTATTTTAAATAAACAAAACAACAAGGCTGACGGGGCAGCAAAACTTACTTTCAAGAAGAGGACACGTAGAGCAGACCACAACACCATGGAGGGATAGAAAGACACTGACTTTATACAAACACTGACGAGACAAGATGACACCTGTGGTGATTGGAAGTGCAGACAGGTGTGTCAGGAACTGAACACCCAGGGAGTGCATGAGCTAAAGCAAACCACAAGATGGAGACATTAGGGAGTGGAGGAGAACAACACACAGAAACCCTATTCTGAAAAAATCTCATCTCCTTAATAACAAACATTCTCATTTCAAATCCCTCCCAAACAGTGAGCCGCTTGTTTAATGTGCTTCAGCAGACTTGAAATTGATGACTGGATGTAAATTAGTCAATAAAATAAAGCTATCATGATTACTGGTTACAGGAACTAATCACGTGGGAGTCGCATGCAACATCAATATTGTTGCTTAATGAAGTTTACAGCATGGTCGAAATGTGATACTGAAACCTGAGAAGCTGCCAAACCACCTTCATGTTTTTATGTCCCATTTAATTTGCAATTGTGCACAAATCTTACTGCCTAAAATTCTTATCATTTATTCAGAGCATTCTGTATGTCCAGCTTCTTCAGCGTTGTTTGGCCACAGAGCTGTTTCATTAACCTGTTTTCCATTTGTCTGAAGCCACATGCTATACAAAAATAAATTACTACTGTTAATGCTTATCAAAAACAGACCCAACATATTTTATTACATTTTTTGTTGTCACAAAGTGGCTTTCAACTTTGTCTACTTGTTTTGGTCCACTGATTTAACCTAACTACACTTCTTTGTGAAAACACTTGCCTATTATAAAAAAATTTAACTATTAACTGGCCTATCATCAAAAATAACCCACACATACACAGACTCATCTTTTTAAGAATTATACAGTTGCTGAATTTCTGTCCAAGTTGGCCTTTATTTAAGACTTTACAGTGATTAAATTTTTCTTGTTACAAAAATAGAATCTGGCTGTAGTTATAAATCCCCATTCATCCATGTGATGTACAGCACTTTCACACTGACTTTACATTATCAGGCTGGTGATGTTTGAGACACAATGCAACAGACTGCTATAGCACCCTTTGATTTTAGTGGATTCAGTACTGGAAAACAAAAGAATAACTGAGTGAAACATTCAAACAGCAAAAGACCACATGTGGGCTCTGACATTAGGGATAAAACAGTGAAACCCCTCCAGATTTTAGGAAGATAAAAACTTTAATCATATAAAAATCAATAGCAGTAGGTGACAAAGATTTGAAAGAATATCTTCTTTTATTGCACCATACAGTGTTACAAGTGTGAATAAAGGTTTTGTGGCATCATAGAGTATTTTGTCACATGGAGGACAATTTGTCAGGGAGAAGGAGCAACAAATAATGGAATATGATGATTCTGGTGAGATGCCAAGAGTGGACAATGAGCAGATGAGAGAGATCTACATGAACGGACGAGCGTAAGAAACAGTTACAAAAGAGGAGGATTCAGTGAAGTTGATGTTGACTCCCAAAACTGTATTGGTCAGTTTAAAAAGTAAATTTGAACTTGAGAATTTAATAATCGTCGTCGTCGTCATCATCATCATCGTCATCATCGTCATCATCGTCATCATCGTCGTCATCGTCATCGTCATCATCATCGTCATCGTCATCATCGTCGTCGTCGTCATCGTCGTCGTCGTCATCGTCGTCATCGTCATCATCGTCGTCATCGTCGTCATCGTCGTCATCGTCGTCATCGTCGTCATCGTCATCATCGTCGTCATCGTCATCATCGTCATCATCGTCATCATCGTCATCATCGTCATCATCGTCGTCATCGTCGTCATCGTCGTCATCATCGTCATCATCGTCATCATCGTCATCATCATCATCATCATCATCTTCTTCTGGATCGATTTCACCCGACAATACATCCTCAAGCCAGTCCTCAAGCTCATCCACCGATGGTAGGTCTTCTCCATCGTCCATGTCCATCCACACACTGTCAGCCTGGAGAGCAACAAGAACAATCAACTCAGCAACAAAAACAATCAACTCACCAACAAGAGTGATTCAAGTCAGCAACATGATCAATCAAACAAATTATGTCAAAACACTCTGAGATAGTGATACTCAATAAAATAACATATTTAGGACTCGGTTTCTTGCCTTGTGGGTTTGGTAATATGCTAGAAAACTGATCAGCATAATTTTTTAAAGGAGATAAGCAACAATTTTTTTATAGGGGCAGTTTGACTTGAATAATGTGATTGATTATGTCAAACTGGGTCACTTACAAAAATAATGTGACTGACACCTCCATGAATTGCCACTTTACCGTGGTGGAGGAGTTTGTGTGCTCGAATCAAGGACGATGAGCTATGCTGTTTGGGGCAATTGTTCCTGGTAGGGTATCCCAAGGTAGATTGGTCCTAGGTGACAGGCTAGACAAAGAGCGAATCATACTCATATGGACAAATGACAACAAGGAGCTCAATGTCCCTCACCCAGACACTGGTTACTGGGGTCTCATCTTGGAGCCAGGCCTGGAAGAGAGGCTCGTCACCAAGCACCTGGTGACCAGGCCTCTACTCATGGGACCTGGTCAAGCTTAGCTCGAATAGGTTACTTGAGTTTGCCTTCCTGTGGGCTCACCACTTTCAGGAGGAGATATCTGACTCAGGTTCATAGTACCATGGTTAGTAGCCAACATCAGAGGTCTTGGTGCTCTGACCGTGACTTATGAAAGCTGGCTCTTGGGATATGAAATATCACCTCTCTGGAAGGGAAGGAGCCTGGGCTTGTGCATGAGATTAAGTGGTACTAAATATGGTCGGGCTCAGCTTGATGCATGACGTGCTCTGGAACCAATCTCCTTGCGAGCAGATGGACCCTATCCTAATCTGGAGTTGCCCATAGTGAGAGATGCTGGGCTGGTGTGAGTCTCTTTATAGACCCCAGCTTGGTGTTTGTACATTGGAGTTTTATCTGGTGGATGAGAGGGTAGCTTCCTTATGCCTTCGGGGGGTGGGGTGAGCTATGATTGTTGTTTGTGCCTATGTTCAGAACAGCACTTCAGTGTAGACTCCAAGAATAGTCTTCTTCGAGTCTTTACCAAAGGTGCTGGAAGGTGCTCCAACAGGGGACTCCTTTAGTCTCCTGGGGGACTTCAATGTGCAAATGGATTGTGATAGTGTGATTTGGAGTGGCATGATTGGGAGGAACAGCCTCTCTGATCGGAACCTGAGCAGTGTACTATTGTTGGACAACTATGCTAGTCATGGTTTGTCCACCACAAACATCATATTCAAACATAAGGGTGTCCATAAGTGCACATGGCACCAAGACACCCTAGACCTCAGTTCAATGATAGACTTTGTAGTCATGTCCTCTGATCTGTGGCTGTACGTTTTGGACACTCGGGTGAAGAACTCAGATTAGCTGTCAACTGATGACCATCTGGTGGTGAGTTAGATCAGATGAGGGTTTGCTCTGAACACCTGACAGAAGAACCCATCAGAAGGATCTTGAGCTTACACCACAGAAATAATTTTAACAGCATCCCAGCAGAATTCAAGCATCTCAGCAGAGTTTGAGCACATTAAGTTCAAGTGGGCCATGTCCTGCGTCTTAACTGTTAAGGTGAATGCCTTGAGCTGTGACCACAAGATTGTCATGCCTCTCACAGTGGCCATCCTCAAACTCAGTGATGGACACCCTGGGTTAAGGAGTCTATTAAACTAAAGAAGGAGTCCTATCAGGCCTCGTCAGCTAGTAGGACTCTGGAGATAACTGTGATGTATTGGCGGGCCAAGGAGGCTGCAGCCCTGGATGTTGCTGTGGCAAAGGCATGGATGTGAGAGGGGTTCAGCGATGCCTTAGACATAGACTCCTGTTCAGCTTCGAGAAGATTCTGGCAAACCATCAGGCAACTGAAGCAGGAAAAACAGCACTTTATCAATCATGTGTGTAGAAGTGGAGTGTTGTTGACCTACACCACTGATGTTGTTAGACAATGGAATGAATATTTCTGGAACCTTTTCAATTCTACCAGCATGTATTCCATAGAAAGAGCTGAGCCAGGGGGAAATGGGAGTTGGTCTGTCCATAACCAGACCTGTAGTTGTTGAGGTAATTAAAAAGATCCATGGCTGCTGGTTTCTGGGGGTGGATGAGATCCACTCTGAGATCTTCAAGGCTCTGGATGTTGCTGGGCTACCTTGTACGACATGTCTTCGCAACATTGTGTGGACATCAGAAGCAGTGCCACTAGATAGTGCCACTCTTACCTCCCCATCAATCTGGTTTCAGAAAACAACATAGCACAATGACTGCTTTGTTGAAGGTTTTTAATGATGTCGTTGGAGCACTGGATACTAAAGATTATTGTGCTGCACTTTACTTAGACCTGTCTAAAGCTTTTGACACTGTGGACCATGATATCTTATGTCGTAAGCTCTCAGAAATTGGTTTCTCAGATCACATCATCAGAGACAGTGTGTTCAACATAATGATACTTCTTCCAATTATCTAACTGTTAAGAATGGTGTACCACAAGGCTCAGTCTTAGGACCCACCCTCTTCACAATCTACATAGGTAATGTAGGTCAGGTCATCCCTGATCCTTACAGCTATATGTTGAGAATACAGTTGTTTACTGTCGAGCTAAAACAGTTGGTAAGGTTTTCCAGCTTTTGCAATTCGCCTTTGACATCATCCAGTCAGATTTCTTCCGTCTCAAACTTGTACTAAATGCAGTCAAAACCAAAAGGATGTTGTTTTCAAACAGAAAGTTGGTCCCAGCAATCCTTCCTTCTATTTTATCTTCGAATGGCATTCCTATTGAGTTTGTAGATTCTTACAAATACTTGGGTATCTTGGTCGAATCGCATCTCTCTTTTAAGTCCCACATGGAAAACTTGGTAAAGAAACTGAAAGTAAAACTGGGTTTCTTTTTCAGAAATAGATCCTGTCTAACTCTGAATGCTAGGAAATACCTTGTAACTTGGACTTTCCTTCCCTTCATTGACTATGGTGACATTATTTACATGAACACCCCAACAAGCACTTGTAGGCACATATAAATATTTGGACGCTTTCTATCACGGTGCCCTAAGATTCATAACTGGCTGTAACTACCGTACCCACCACTGTACCTGTATTCACTGGTTAACTGGTCATCATTAACTTCACACAGACTCTCTCACTGGTACATTTTCATCTTTAAATCACTTCTTAGTCTGCTGCCTTCATACATCTCCTCTTACATGCCATTACATGAGTGCAGCTACAGTGTACACTCTCAGGACATTATTACATGCAGTATACCTTCAGTGCAGACTGAGCTAGGCAAAAGGCTCCTACTCCGCTCCTGTATCCTGGAATATCTTGCAAAAAGATCTGAAGCTCTCGACCTTGACCTCTCTAAGTGGCTTCAAGCAACTGCTAATTTTATGTCAAAACCAATGCAGAAATCAAAATTTATGCTCAATCATCCAGGTACAAAATCCAGTAATGGTCAATCAGGTCATCTGGACAGTTTCTTTTTTGTGGAAAGACATTTCAACCTCTCTCCGGAGGCTTCATCAGTCTGAAGATTCCCAAGTAAACTGTTTTCTCGACTAAGCAGTACACTCCTTTTGCAAACGCAATGCAGACATGTTCCTGTTTTTAGTATTTTACATTGCTTTACAATGTAGCTGTTTTTGTTTAGTTTTTAAAAACGTCATTTTCTTACATTTATTTTTTCAATTTATATGCTTTATTTTATGATTGTCTACTGTTGTCATTGTTTACTGTTTGTCATCATTCTTTGTTAAAAACAGGTTTCTATTGTAATTGAGTTGTGTGCTTGGGTTTGTAGCTCTGTTTTTATGCAGTCTTTTATCTTGTTTTTAACTGATATTTCATCACTTTGTTTCAGCTATGGCTGTGTTAAAGTGCTTTATAAATAAAGTTGATGATGATGATGATGATGAGTCCTCGAGGCTCAGTGAGACTAACTTGAATAAATAATGGTTGAATGAATTGGCAAACTTGGGTGGTGGTTACCCTCTTCAAAAAGGAGGAATGTAAGGTGTGTTACAATTATAGGGACATTACTCTTCTTAGCCTTCCCATTAAGGTCTGTTCAGGGAAGCAGGAGAAAAGAAATCAATCGTCGAACCTTGGATTCAAGAGGAACAATATAGATTCCTTCATGGTTGTGGAACACTGGACCAGCTCTTTACTCTCACTAGGGTCATTGAGGGGGTGACTTTGCCCATACAGTATAGGCTACATGTGCTTTGTGGACTTGGAAAATGCATTTCACTGTGTTCCTCGTGAAACATTATGGGAGGGTTTTCCGAGAGTATGGATTGGGCTCCATTGCTACCGGCCATTCAGTCCCTATACAAACAGTGCAATAATTTGATTTGAATCATCTGCATTAAGTTGGACCTCTTCAGGGTGGGAGTTAACTATCAGTCAGTAGCCCTCACCCTGACAGTCGCTAAATGCTTTGAAAGACTGGTCATCATGACCCACATCAAAACAACCATCAACATCAGCAAGGACTCTCACCAGTATGCATACCCCAAGAATCGATCAGCAGAGGATTTTATCTCCTCTGTGGTACGCACTGCTCTCACTCACCTTGAGCAGAAGGACTTCTACGTCCATATGCTCTTTGTGGACTTCACGTCTGCCTTCAACCCAGACCCTGATAGACAAACTACTCCCACTAGGACTAAGCTCCTCCATATGCAACTGGGTCCTAGACTTCTTAACAAACAGACCACAGTCAGTGAAGATGCACAACTTCTCCTCCTCCACCATAACCCTCATCACTGGCTCCCCTCAGGGCTGTGTGCTGAGCCCTCTCCTGTTCACTCTGCTCATCTATGACTATACACCTACCCATCCAGACTGTCATATTGTAAAGTTTGCAGACAAAACAGTGGTGGTTGGATGCATCATAAAAACAACGATGAGTCCAGCTACAGGCAAGAGATGGAACATCTGGAGAGCTGATGCAGGAAGAACAACCCTCACATCAATGTGAAGAAGACGAAGGAGATGGTCATGGACTTCAGGTAGAACAATCCCTTCCCCAAATATAGGAGGATCTGTGGTGGAAGTGGTTTCCAGCTACAAGTACTTGGGTGTGCACCTGAATGACAACCTCAGCTGGATCAACAACACCATCAGCCTAATCAAGAAAGCTCATCAGAGACTCTACTTGCTCAGGCGGCTGAGGTGAGCTGGACTGGGAAGCTCAGTCCTCACCTCCTTCTACAGGTATGCAGTGGAGAGCATCCTGTGCTCCAGCATCAATGTGTGGCATGGCGGCTGCACAGCTGCACTACACAACACACACACTTTTTGCCCCGCTCTCCTCAGGCAGGAGGCTGAGGAACATTAAGTGTAGAACAACTAGACTGAGGAACAGCTTCTACCCTGAAGCTGTTAGACTCATGAATCTCTAATCAGGATTATCAATGTGAAAAAACCCCACTGTAATGCCACTTGATTGTTGATATGTGCTGCTGACTATCCATGCTGCTGATCTCATGCTGCTGATTTATTTAATGATGTTGTATTTATTTGTACTCATCTACTCACACAGACTCATGTTCGTGCTGCTGTTGTTCAGCGTATTGTTTTTGTACTATTAGTGTTTGGCGTATTCTTAGTTCATATTTTAGATCTTATTACTGTTTTTCTTTACAATTTATACTTTTGCTGGATGTAACTGGGAACTTGTGTACACAGTTTTGTTCCACCACATGTACCACATATGATGTGAATGACAATAAAGAAACCTTGACCTTGAGTTGGACTTCTCCGGGGCTACGCATTGTCATGGATTCTGTTTGTAACTTTTCTGGACAAAGTTCAAGTATCTTGGGGTATTGTTCATGAGTGAGGGATGAATGGAGCATGAGATTGACAAATGAACTGAAGCAGTTTCTGTGGTATTGTGGACTTTGTGCTGATATGCTGTGGTATCGAAGGAGTTGAGCCGCAAGGCGAAGCTCTTTGCTTGTTGGCCAGTCTATGTTCGTATCCCCATTGATGGTCACAAACTTTTTTTTGTTTGCAGAAAAACACACGTGTGCAACCAATAAGGAAAAAGAACAAACTGTTACTCACATCGTCAGCCTCAATGACACCAATCTGTGGGTGGGACAGGTCAATTCCAAAAGTCTTTTCCCAGTGTGGCACGAGCTACAGGAGGAAATAATGAAATTATCAAAGCACTTCTGTTATCAGTCTCACGTTATCAGTAAGGCTTAGTTTTCAATGCGGTAAGTATGTTCTGTAATATGTTCTGACCAGCGGGAAGTCATCAGGGTCAATCCAGACAATGCTGAGATCAGGGTTTTCTGTGTTATCCTCAGCAACTTGCTTCAGGATGTGCAAGAACTCAAAACCATCTGGAAAACAGAGGAGAAGAGCACAACCCAACAGAAATCAAGAAGCTTCTCTCCTCATATGCAGCCACTAATCCCTGCTATTATTGCTAATGTTCTAACATTTCTACTCCATTCTATAGTTCTAGATTTTCTTATTTTTATAATTCTATTCATAGATTTTTCTGCTCGTAAAATTTTCTATTTAAATTTGATTTAATTTACCGATATCTGACTCTTCTGCAAAGGCAACAATGTGTTCTCCACCAACATCGTCGTCCTATGGAAGGAATAAACACAATCAGAAGTGTTGACGTTACAATTTCAACATCAGGAAATTGTCAAATTTAATGCTGTGATGTTGTATAAGCTTATTCCCAAAATTATATTTTTGCAGAAGTGGAAGTTTAAAGGCTCTTACCCAAATCTCGTACAGGTTGTGGGGCTGCAGCTTTCTCAGGGTTGGTCTTAATAGACACAAATCCATTAGTATTATTGCGTTTTATCATTCATTCAGAAGATTTGTGTGGAAAAGCTACTGGTGTGGTTTACCTGTCATTGTCTTCGATGAATTTCACCAGCTCCTCCTCAGAGTAAGGCTTTCCAGGGATGAGCACAGGATCCTCGATGAAGGGTTCATAAAAGTCGACTTCGTTGAGCTTCAGCTCCAGAGCCTTAGCGACCTGTCAGACAGGACCGAAACATCTGAACCATCATCTTACCCTTATTGATCTGCAGCAGTCTGGTATGGTCATTTTAGATCCTTAACAGGTAAAGTCAGTAATCTGCAGTATTTGGATAGAGAAACCATCAGCAAATCATTCAAATTGATGTTTTTTGAGTCTTGACTCCTTCAGATCTGCCACCACACTGTGCCAGCATAGCAAACCCTCCTTTAGCAGCACTAAGAACCAGTATGTGTGTTCTTTGAGCGCAGCAGACATCTACACAAGGAACACAATAAAAAGTCTGAAGTATTCACCTAACTTCAGTCTGAGGGGATATGAGGGCATCAGCGGGGACCAAATGCACGTATGACCCCAGAATACTGTAACTATACAGAGGAATTTAGAGTTGCCTCACAGGCTGCAAGGTGACCAGTTCTAGTACTTAACTAAACCCAGATCATTTCTACTTCCCCACTGTGGCTAACAATCCCTGTGAAGTTTGTGTAACATGTTGTGTTTGATTTCTTGCCAAACTTTGCAGAAAGTATCATAATAAGCATCTCTATCAAGAGGACATCGCTCGAAAAGTCATTGTTTCTTCCAATTGCAACTTTTCAAAAACTAAGCTGTGCTTTCCTTTGCATGGGTGTCACACCCAGTTACAAAATGAGGACAACATTTAAAACTTGGCCCAAGTCATGAACCAACTTCACTCAATACACTAACTCAAGTCTGATCTTTTCTTGGTTGCAGGTTCATCAGTCTCATTTGTTGTTCTTTGCACATCACAATCAGTGCATACTGAAAAATCAAACTTTTTCTGGCTTCAAAGTAAGTCAGCAGCCATGAGGAGTCTGCACTAAATGAAGTATTTATCAGGTTTTTTTAAGCAAAATGAAAAGCGATAAAAATATTTTACATTTGAAATATCGTCACATAAGATGTAATCTAGTCAGACCTGGCCTGTGGGCCTTGAGTTTGACACATATGCTAGAGGCCACACTTTAAAGGCCATTTGGGTGCAGTCTTAACAAAACTAACGTGAATTTTAACATTTAAAATGTTAATTTAGACTTTTAAAGTTTGAGATATAGTTTTATGAGCACTACACAGTCTGAACTTGGGAGCATCTTGCAGGAAGATGATAAAATGTCTTGCAGGTTTTCCACTTTGGTCTTGTAACCCTGTGAGTGAACTGACAATGATTTTTATCTTTGACATTTTGTTAACCAACACCCTGAACGTCTCAGACCGACAGAAACGTTCTTCAAATGCTTCTGGTGCTGCTTGCTGTTAATAATCCAAGCTCGCTAGTTAAACTGCTTACCTTGGGATTGAATGTGGCGAAGAACTTGACGTGAGGATGAAACTCTTCAGCAGCATCAGCAAAAGCCTCAAAATCTGAAATTTCAGACATTCATTAAATTGTTTCAGTAAAGTGGTGTCGGTGTGAAACGTGAGAGGGCTGCTGTCATCATCACTGACGGTCAATTGCGTGCTTATTTAAAATTAAAGCTGAGCTCTACGACGCTTATCTTGGATCTATAAAGCTGTTGCTTGCTTATTGTGCCACCACAGTATTCTTACGTTCTGATTTGTGACTCTTAAAGTAGCCCACCAGTTTGATGTCCTCTTCGATGTTTTCAAAGCCCTTCAGTTCTCTGCTGTTGTCAATAATTTCCACGGGGTCCTCAAGAACCTGGAGAGCAAGAGAAGTGAACCAGAATGAATCGCTGATGGGTGATCTGATGGTTACTGTAGGGCAGAACGGTGTGGAAACGGCAAATAAAAATGATGACTTCCATGTTTGGACTCATTAATTTTGTTAATTTATATGCATTCTACCCCATGTTTCAGGGCTGTGACACATTAATTTTAGATTTTCTTTTGAAACTGTGGTGTTAGCTTTAAGGGCTTTCAGGCACCGATGTGTTTTGGTGAACTGCCCAAGCTTTGGCCCTCAGGCCCTCCAGTCAGAAACTGTTTGTGGTTCCACCTCATCTGTGGAGCTGCCCTTGATTTCATGATACATGGACAGAATGGAGGCTTTTGAAAGCAGCTGCAGATGATTTTATTTAGACAAGCTTTTTGTTAACATGCCAAAAATTTAAAATGAGCTTGTTTCATATTTATGTTTGAATCCCTTTTTTATATCTATAATGGTATTGTTTTGTCTTTTAATAACAAAAACTGTGTTTCTTTTTTTAATCTGTGAAAGATGCTCTACAAACAAGTGGTATGCCGATGTCCCTGTCACTGAGAGATCTGAATAGTGAATGCTTGTAGTTCTGTCAATGTTTTTCTGTACTGGATTCTAACAGGAAATGATTAATGTTTTTATCACAACATAGTGGGGGAGTTTTTTTTTTTTTTTTTTTTTTGCTTGTCCAAGGCAATGCAGAGTGAAAGATCCTGGAGAGTGGAAGGAGACATTTTATCCACCACCAGGTGCAATGGTGGAGCCAGAGGGTGGCCAATGGTGGACTTGTCCTCCATAGATTCTTCTTTGGCCACCCGAAGGGCCGCCCCAATCATTTGAGGAAACTGTAATTCTAAACAATATAAAAACTAAAACACATCCTCAAATTATAGAGTTGGCCATTTTCGATCTGACATGGCAACCCATTTTTTGATAGTAACATTTCTCATGCTTAGATGCAGCCACACCAAAATGGAAGTTAGTTCCTTGTTTATATTTCAAGTTATTGTGCTCACAATATGAATGGATGAATGGAAAGTATTTTCAATCCCTCCTTTTCGCCCTGCGACAGGAGACAATAAACTTCTCATATCCCAAGAAAAGTGGGAAGGAGGCAGTATGGAGCTAGTATGGAAGTTAATATCGTTGTCAGTGCTATTTTAGTTGAATCAGAATATATCCTGAACCAAGATGAGCAGTTTCTCAACTATTCAGTGAGAAAATTGTTAAAATGCATAAAAACAAAGGTTCTCAGAAGAATGAAGGGCTGCACAACAATCTACTGTCACTGCAACATTTGTGTGTGTGATTCCAATACAGCAGGAGTGTGGAAAATGATGGGTGTTCTCAAATTTAGATCATTCCAACATTCAACAGTAAAATTACTAAAATGTGCAGCCCTCTATAATTTAAAATGGTTTGCATGATGGATGGATGGATGGATGGATGGATGGATGGATGGATGGATGGAT